CCTAAGGGATAATGATATTGTTGGTCCAGGAACTTCACTTTGAGAACCATTGATCTAACGAAAACTCAAAAACCAGTTGCAATCAAATCAGCTCCGACTCACAGAGACCCCATGTGTATCAGAGTAGAACTGTGCTCCGCAGCGCTTTTAATGGCTAATTTTTCAGAAGTCGACAACAGGCCTTTCTTCCAAGGGATCTAAGGAAACTCTCACAAAATAAGAGCTGATAAAGATCCTACACAATGAAAACTTCAGTAAATCAGACTAATTGGAATTTGTTGATATAAAGAAAAATATTTTTTAAACTACTGCATACATTCTTGGGAATATCTACAATATCTCCAAAATGATCTAATGAGAATGCTGGTATATACAAATGATTTTCCATTTGCATTTTAATTAACTGAAAATTAATGCTCAAAAATTTGTTCCCAAGTAAAGTGATTATTTCTGCTATTATTCGAAATTTATCTAAGCATTCCGTTCATAAAATAGATCAACATATTTTTTTAAAAGATGTTAAGAAAGTAAGGTCCAAAGGAAGGATTTTCACAACTTTAGAGAAAATAAACAGAATAGAAACCTAGACCTGCCGCACTGAATGATCAATGGTGTTTATTGAACTCCTTAAGGGGAAGTAAGGAGTCCCTGGGTGGTGCATACTAACACTCTTGGCTGCTAACTATAAGTTTGGAGGGTCGAGTCACCCAGACGTACCTTGGAAGAAAGTCCTGGCAATCTACTGAAAAATCAGCCACTGAGAACCCTATCGAGTGCAGTTTTACCCTGACACGCATAGGGTTAGGATGAGTTGGAATTGACTCAACGGCAACTGATTTTATTTAAGAGGAAGTAAAAAGTCACATTTGCATTATTTACATATTGGATCAGCCATTGTTGTTCAGTGAAAGCAAATCATCTGACTTTTTCTCAAGCTGTCTTAAATTCTGAACTTGCTTCCCTTTGGGTTTTTTCATAAACAAATAACTAGCAAGGTCTCTAAGGAGGGGAGAGGCCACTTCCTCATTTCACCTCTATTCAAGGTTACGTGCACTCAGCAAGGGAGGATCTTCTGTTACAGGTGTGGAACCTGTTGTTCCAAGCCCTCATCTGGCAGCCCGCTCTGTGGTCAGGCAGTCTCTGTGGCTTGTCACGACCCACCTGGACAATGTCACGCTCAGAAGCAGACCATCCCACAGGTACTAAAGGGAACGTTCAGCTGCTGTCTGGCTTTCCATCTTGCAGTTTCCATTTGTCCAGATCCTATTGCTACCAGCTTTGCTTGGTCCTGTCTTGCCTGTCTTTCCAGGTCTCGTCAGAATTAGTGAATCATTAATCTGTGTGGTTTAATTCCGAGTACAGTGCAATTACTCCCCCAACTGTACGAGTGAGTGTTTGCTGGGTTCTTTCAGCTCGGGAGGCCGAAGGCTGGTGAATTTTCTTTATGATGATCGTATTTTAATTTAGACTTTCAGAGAACATAAGGAGAAGAGTTAGCATGAACAAATTTACTAATAACTTTTGACTCCTTACCAGATCCACCAGGGGCGGTCATTTAGGAAAGGCCTAGGAGCCTCAGCTCTTGTCTCATGTAATCCCTGCAACAAGCCTCAGAGGGAGGTACTTGGATGCCCTTTTATAAATATGGACACAGAGGTTGACAGAGGTCAAGTGGTTTGCCGTAGGTTGCACGGCTAGTTGGCCAGGAGGCTGAGAGGAACCCTATCCATCTTTCTCCAGACCCTGGGCTCTTCTTACCTCTCTGCAAACTGCCTCCCAAAGCCCTGATGTATTTAAAGTCTCTCCAGTTCCACAGTGAGTCATATCAGCTGTTACTACCACCTTGACCTACTCAGTTCCCATATATCTAAGACGTTGTTGTTGTTGTTAGGTGCCATCGAGGTGGTTCCAACTCAGAGCGACCCTACAGGACAGAGTAGAACTGGCCCATAGGGTTTCCAAAAGCGACTGGTGGATTCGAACTGCCAACCTTTTGATTAGCAGCTGTAGCTCTTAACCGCTGTGTACCAGGGCTCCTATATTTAAGATACTGGTCAGTATATGTCCATCAGACCTAAATAACCTCCTATCCATGGCCACACCCCTGTGTCTGGATGTTTAGTAAGAAAATCCAAAGTTGCGTCCTAACCTGTCAAAGGAGGGAAAAGAAGGCTGAAAGGACAGAAGGGAAAACCCAAAGGCTAAGAATTCTGATACATCTATTAAGGGAGTGCCTCTGTAACCAGACTGAATTTCTCTGACCTTGTTGCTGCCTAGAACTTAGATTATCATATAAAAGAGAAAAACAGAATTCCCTGGGTGTGGGTACATGTGAAAGTACCTGGGTAACTGCAGCCCTCACCTCAGCCTTTTGTTTGCTGGGAGAATGAGGAACTGGCCCGTTCATGAAGCAGCAGGTGTTCAAGACTTGAAGCCACCTAATGTACCTATGTTTACTAGTGGTCATAACAGGCCTTTTCATTCTTTTCCAGCCAATATCAACCTTCAGGGCAACAGCCAAGAATAAGCGGTTGAAAAACAAAATGGGTCCAACCCCTCCTTATCTTAATGTAAGTTTCCCATTGATGGACCCCCCTCAAAAATGTACCTAATGCCTTTTAGTTCTGCACGTGAAATTCTATAACATTGAGTCCTCAACTCAAAATATTAAAGCAAATCTAACATTAAGAACTTCAGATTTCTTTTATAATGAACTACATTGACTTTAGCTGGTGTCCAAGTAACTCTCCAGTCTAAAATCCAGCACAGTTAGTTTCATTTATCCTTAAACCAGATGAAAGCCAGTGAGTAAATAGAAGAGACCTTCACCCGTTACTTTTTGCCATCGAGTCGATTCTGACTCATAGCGACCCTGTAGGACAGAGTAGAACTGTCCCACAGGGTTTACAAGGAGCAGCTGATGGATTATGAACTGCCAGCCTTTTGGTTAGCAGCTATGGCTGCACCACCAGGGTTCCTAAGAGATCTTGGAGTCCCCAAAATCAATCTCATCACATTGTCATGACAACATCATAACATTGGGCTCCTCCTCTTGACTTATAAGAGCTATTCATTCTCTCAAAACTAGGTTGTTGGACTTTTATGCCTGAAACAGATTAGAAGAAACCAATTAAAAGGGGAGTGACTGCTATAGGCAAGTACACAAACTATAATGAGTAGCGATGAATGAAAATTAGAGAGTGCATCAGTGTGGGGCCATTTAGTGTGGGAGTAAACAATTATATGCCATAAAAACCTGTATTCTCCATAGAGCTATAACAAGCATAGCAATAATCATTGTATTTCAGCACAGTACTACAGTAACAAGGAGCCCTGGTGAAGCAACTGTTAAGCACTCGCCTGTTAACCAAAAGGTTAGTGGTTTGAACCCACCCAGCAGCTCCATGGGAGAAAGACCTGCCAATCTGCTTCCGTAAAGATAACAGCCAAGAACCTGTGGGGCAGTTCTACTTTTTCGTATGGGATCACTATGAGCCAGAATTGACTCGATGGCATCCAACAACAACAACAACTATAGTGATAGTGCACATAATGAGGCCAGGTCATCAGGAAACATTTATTTGATATTCAGTGTTCTCTTCTATAAGCAGGAGTAGATTAGCCAGTAAGCAAGATACACACGGGTTTGTAGTAAAAAACAGGTGAAATTGTGCACTACAGATTAGTAAGTAAACACAAGTAAGCCCGTGTGTACCATGCTTATTGGGTAACCCATCCCTGATTATAAAGTTTAGGAAGTAGGACTGTAGAAAAAGTCCTACTAGAAATATTGTGAATGCAATTAAAATTATATAGCATTATAAACATTTTTAGTAAGTTATCAGTCATTCTTAAAATTTGACCATCTAAATGTGTTCATTCCTCAAGGATTCCAGATTGCTGATTTTGCTTTAGAATTATAGACTTGCTAAAATCACTCTTGGAAAGTTCAGACTATGTGATCAACTACTGTTGTTCCATCCACAAACAATCCACGCACAGCCTGAAACAAACTTCCACATTGCCCATGCAAAGGAAAATGGTTTATATTATCTGTTCCACACCAGATCTGTAAATAAACACAAGTTGAGTCTTATGCAATAATTGATCTGATGGGTAAGGATTGAAGCTTTCCCACACATCACTACTTTCTTCCTATGCCAATCAAGTTGTCAAATGGTAGAATTAGCTTTGCTTGAGAGTAGAAAGAGTTTAACTGGGAGGTAATCCTGTATGGTACAGTGGTTAAGCACTTGGCTGCTGACTGAAAGGTCAGCTGTTTGACCCCACCAGCTGCTCCGAGGGAAAAAGATATGGCAGTCTGCTTCCATAAGGATTTACAGCCTTGGAAACCCTATGAGGCAGTTGGAGTTAATCCTGCATCAGTGAATCCTAGAAAACATCTCTACTCATGAGAAGCAGGACATCTGGGTTTTTTCTTTTTAAACCCTCCAGTTGTTTTTCCAAAACATAGGGATTGATAAAAGCTAAAATGTTTTTTGTCAAATATTTCACATCAATATCTTTAAAGCCATGACTCCTTTGGTAACTTAAATTACCTCGAAGGAAGGGACCTTGTTTTCCTTGTTTATACATTCCTAAAATGCACTGAAATACTAAAACAAATGATTGAATGAATACAGAATATAAGGAAAATTGAATGTGTATTTGATTCTTTTAAAATGGAATAATCAGAAGATGACAAGCTATGTGGCTTCCAAGAAGTCTCTTAGATCATTAATGTTTTTAAAGGCTTTTTTGCTTAAATCTGGAGGAGATAATAAGTAGACAGTAAACAAACGTCAACACACAAGCTATCTAGATGGGAAGGCTGAAATCATCTGTGTTAATTATCTTCAGGATAACATAAAGGATGCTCATGCTAACTGGCCTCTCCCTATCTCCTAGAAGTTATCATTTGACATTTTACACACCTTTTTAACTCGTGTCCATCTCCCTCATGTGTTATAGATTCCTCACTCTGCTGTTCTTCATTAAAAATGCAACAACCTGCTGGTAATTATTCTCTTGAAAAGGACAAAGAAATACTCTGGGAAGAGTGGCACGTGAATGTGGAAACTGAGCAACCCCAGAGTGGACCAGAGGACAGCAACTTGGACAATGTCCCCCAGAAGCTTCCGGCAATGGACCCCCTTGGCTCCATAGGGAACACAGAGTCTCCCCACCCAGAGGTGCAGCCCAGAGGCACTGAGGCCTCTCCTCAGCCCCCACTGAGAAGCCTGCAGAGGAAGCACTGTGAGAACCAGGGCAATCTTCTCCAGTTTGACCGGCAAGCCCCAGGCCGCATTTCCACCTCTCCGACTTTGAGGAGATTAAGAGGCAGTAGGTGTGGGACCTGGAACTCTATGCCTCACCAGGACACCTTGGAAGTGCCCACCTGGAAGGAACCTGCAAGCTCCATGTGTTATCTTCCCAAGAGTCTACCTGGAAGCCCAAAGGACTATTCCCCCTCCATATCGTCTTTGAGACTCAGCGATCTAAGATTGCCTTCTGATTCTGAAAGGACCCTCAACACAGCTGGCTCAGTAGAGCCCCAAATTGGGCCTTCTGATAAGCAGGCCCCTCCCAGGCTTCAGCCCGTCAGCAAGGGGACACTTCACCAGGCTTCTCCTCCACCCAGCCCCACCTCACCATGCCCAAGTCCTCAGGTAACACAGCTCTAAGCAAAGCAAAATAGGTCTGGGGGTGGCCACATTCCCCCAAAGGCCAGGGTCTTTTATGATGGAAGACAAGCACAGAGAGTCACAGCTAAGAGGACACACACTGTATGGAACACATTGGTTATTACGTAAAGTGGGGTGCAGCATCTTGGGGAAGAAGTGGAATGAAGGTCTAGCTCACTTTCTTCTCCTAAATTCTTGAAGGCACTTTAAGAAAGGGCCCACTAAGGTCAGCCTATAGATGGTGCCTCAGACATTGGAAAGTAATGGTGGCCTTGTTGCAAATACACACCATAGAAGACAACCAGGTATAGCTGGTTTAAAAGAAAAGAAAGAAAATTATTCAAATTTCTAACCTCATCCTCCCCCCTAAAAAATTCAAAAAAACATTTTGCCTAGAAGAGTAAATTGCCTCTCCTTTCAAGATTTCTGCTTTGGTATTTTGGGTGGATTTGAGAAAGACTACAATATGTGTGTGTGTGCGTCTGTGTGTGTGTGTTTGTATATATACACATGTATATATTGTATATATACACACAAGATGCCCTGGTGGCGCAGTGGTTAAAGCAATCAACTGCTAACCAAAAAGTTGATGGTCCAAAACCACCATCAGCTCCGAGGGAGAAAGATGTGGCAGTCTGCTTCCGTAGAGATTTACAGCCTTGGAAACCCTATGGGGTCGCTATGAGTCAGAATCAATTTGAAGGCACTGGAGTATATACATACACACATAAATACATATATATGTATGTATGTATGTGTATACATAACTATATATATATTTTTTAATTTCAGGGAGAAGTATTACAGCAATCCGGGTATGTACTTATTTATCTCCTCCAGTGCTATGAAATCTGTCAACTGTTTATTTAAAACCTATTTCTGTTTTGTCATAACAAATCTGATGGTGTATTAATCAGTGGACTTTGTTTTACAACACCCAAGTCACTCTTTAAGTTTATGAGTTAAAGAGTCTTAATTTCAAGAGTCTCCTTTAACATAGCCAGCTGCATTTTGCTGTGGCTTTTAGGGGCAGGATATGACAGCCCCACTCAGTAATTGTTTTCATTTTGAATTGGCAATGCCTTGGCCCTGTGGTTTAATTAACATCCACTTAGTAACAGGTTTTGTCAAGTGTAGACAAGGGAAAGGCCAGATATATTCAACAGCTTTTTAAATAGAAATTCAGGGGACTAGGATAAAAGGAGCAAGATGTGCCATTTCAATATAGGATGACCTTTAAATGCCTGATATGACAGACTCTGCCCTTGTTGAGAGTGCAGGACAATTATCTCACTTCAGAAACCAGCTCTGAACTTCCAGTGTGGCCTCAGGTTGTGGCAGTGGATTTGCCATCCCTCCAGGGATGCTTAAAATCTTCTGCGACAGCAAGGGAAATATCCATGCCCGATTTCATCCATCTAATCTTCGGGATTGGCAGAAAAGTCCTCATTTTATTTAGAGAGGCACAGTGTAGTCCTTGGGGAATTAGCCATTGCTTTATTATTGTTGTTGTTATTTGCTGTCAAGTTATCTCTAACTCGTGGTGAACTTACGTATAACAGAACAAAATGTTGCCTGGTCCTCTGCTATCTTCATGATTGTTGGTATGTTTGAGTCCAGTTTTTCGCTATTGTATACTGTCTTCCAACACAGAGGACTCATCTTTCAGCACTATATTGGACAATATTCTCTTGTGATCCATAAGGTTTTCGTTGACTAATTTTTGGAAGTGAGTTGTCAGATCTTTCTTCCTAGTCTGTCAGTTTGGAAGCTCCCCTGAAACCTGGTCACCATGAGTGACTCTAGTGATACTTGAAATACCAGTAGCATAGTCTTCACCAACACCATAATTCAAAGGCGTCAATTCTTCTTAGGTCTTCCTTATTTATTGTCTGGTGCCTCACATGCATATGAGGCTATTGAAAACACCATGGCTTGGGTCAGGTACACCTTAGTCCTCAAAGTGATGTCTTTGTATTTTAACATTTTTTAACAGAGGTCTTTTGCAGCAGATATGCCCAATGCAATACATCATTTGATTTCTTGACTGCTGCTTCCATGGGTGTTAACTGTGGATACAAGTAAAATGAAATCCTTGACAATTTCAATCTTTTCTCCATTTATCGTGATTTTGCTTATTGGTCCAGTTGTGAAGATTTTGGTTTTCTTTATGTTGAGATGTAATCCATAACTGAAGGCTGTAGTCTTTGATCTTCATCAGTAAGTGTTTCAAGTCCTCTTCAACTTCAGCAAGCAAGGTTGTGTCATCTGCATATCACAGGTTGTTAATGAGTCTTCTACCAATCCTGATGCTGTGTTCTTCTTCATATAGTACAGCGTCTTGGATTATTTGCAAAATGTGTAGATAGAATAAGCATGGTGAAAGGATACAACCCTGATGCACACCTTTCCTTATTTTGAAACACAATATCTCCTTGTTCTGTTCGAACGACTGCCTCTTGGTCTATGTACAGGTTCCTCATGAGCATAATAAAATGTTCTGGAGTTTTCATTCTTCACATGCCTTTGCATAGTCAATAAAATACAGGTAAATATCTTCTAGTACCTAGTACAATACTTGGCACATAATAAAACCAAACCCATTGCTGTCAAGTGGATTCTGACTTATAGCCACCCTATAGGACAGAGTAAAACTGCCCCATGGGGTTTCCAAGGAATAGCTGGTGAATTTGTACAGCCAACCATTTCATTAGCAGCCAAGTTCTTAACCACTATGCAACCAGGGCTCCTGGTACATAATAGGCAATGTTTATTGAATGAATAAGTGAAAGACAACGTAAGTATAATCTATTAATCAATATTTAAAATAAACATTCATATATTACTACTAATAAATAATAAGTCATTTATCATCAACATCAGAATACTCGATCAGTACTTCATCTTAGGCATGAATTTATAGTAAACAGCTAAACATCTATGCCACAATGATTCCCTGTCTGCCTGTCTTTTTTCTCTCTGTTCTTCCTCGTATCTCTGCAGGCTCTTCCACAGCAGTCATTTGCTCAAAGGGCCTACTTCCTTTGGATGGCTGTTTAACCAGGCTTTATGGTCACAATAATGCCAGGAAAAGAGCTCCATGTGAGGGTGCTGTCTATCCAGAGGACCACAGACCAAGTGGGGCTTCTCCCTTTTGCAGGGCCTGGTTACTTTGGTTTTCAGTTTTTAGTTTTGTTTTTCTTTTGCCTTTCAGGTGCTAGAGGCCTTAACTTATAAAGCATATGCCCATTAAATGATATAAAACAGGGGTCAGCAAACTATAGTTTATTACCCAAATTTGGCCCACCATCTGTTTTTGTAAATAAAGTTTTATTGGAGCACAGTCACACACATTTGTTTATGTATTGTCCAGGGCTGCTTTCATGCTGCAATGGCAGCATTGAGTAGCGATGATAAATTAGGATCACGAAGCCTAAAATATTTACTATTGTTAAAAATAATCAAAACTCAATGAAATTGGAACATAAGGTTTATTCTAAGCAGTTATTCTACATGCATATAAACCCAAACTCATTGCCCTTGAGTTGATTTCAACTCATAGCAACTCTATAGGACAGAGTAGAACTGCCCCATAAAATTTTCAAGGCTGTAATCTTTATGGAAGCAGACTGCCACATCTTTCTTCTGAGGAGTGGCTGGTGGGTCCAAACCGCCCACCCTTGGGTTAGCAGTCAAGCACTTAACCACTGGGCCACCAGGGCTCCTCTATATGCATATAAAGAGAACATTCTGATTCCAGAAAAGGCAAATGGCTCAAAGTAAACTAGGTACAATGAGGCTTATAAGGAGAAGAGGAGGGAGAAATACAGAAGATCAACCATTATCTAATCTTAATATGATTGATTGAACCCCACCCTTCCCCTTTTCTGAGATCAACTGACATCAGGTCACAAGATGGTCTCTGGCCCTCAACCCAGTCATATCGTTTGAAATTCAAATTTGTTGAGCCTGGCTTCAAACAGGAAAGAAAAAATTAGCAAATTTGGGGTGAAAGAAAAGCCACTGGCAGTATTAATTTTTGTCAGGAATTTCTTCACAGTGACTATTTGGTTTCGTGGGTAAGAAAACCTTACAATTAAAGTAAGATGTCTGCTATTAATTTTCTCTTTGACACTATCTGGCCCTTTACAGGAAAAGTTAGCTGACCCCTGGTATATACAATGAAGAAACACTTGCCTCTGCAGCTGTCAGTCAATCACAACAACATTTCTTTGCTTATAGAATAGATATAAACCCTTTTTCCAGAAACACTGATTTTTCTTTTTGTTAGAGAGTTTTAATACATGGCCTGGCAATCGAGCATGTTCAGGTAAGTGAGAAGGGGCCAGGCTACTCTCAGTTCTGATATCAGCTAAGCATATGTCTTCAATTCCAGGTTTCTCTTTGTGGGCTCTTTTTCTCACTTTCATCCTTCTCTCTGTCAATAATATTCCAGTGAACGCATACTCTGTCTTAGTTATCTAGTGCTGCTTTAACAGAAATACCACAAGTGGATGGCTTTTAACAAAGAGAAATTTATTCTCTCACAGTCCAGTAGGCTACAAGTCCAAATTCAGGGCATCAGCTCCAGGGGAAGGCTTTCTCTCTCTGTCGGCTCTGGAGAAAGTTCCTTGTGCTGCATCAGTCTTCCTTGGTCTAGAAGCTTCTCCGCGCAGGAACCTCAGGTCCAAAGGACACGCTCTGCTCCTGGTGCTGCCTTCTTGGTGGTACAAGGTTCCCATGTGTCTCTGCTCGCTTCTCTCTTTTATATCTCAAAAGAGATTGGCTTAAGACACTAACCAATCTTGTATACCTCATCAGTATAATTGCCACTAATCCATCTCATTAGATCATAGTGATTGAATTTACAAACATAAGGAAATCACATCAGATTACAAAACGGTACACAATTATACAATACTGGGAATCATGACCCAGCGAAGTTGACAGATATTTTTGCAGGACACAATTCAATCCATGACATACTCACAGCAAACCTT